GCCGACTGGCCACAGCTCCGTTCTGGAGGCAGCGCGGACAAAGGTGGGGCAACAGGTCCCGGAGTGGGCGCGGGTGCAGAGGCCAGCGCTCGCATCTCAGGGGTGGCCGTGAGGATGAAATGAGATGAAACGTTCCGCACCCAGCGAGGCGCACTAGCTGCCGGGCCCCACGCTCTCATCCTCGACTGTGTGATCTGACTCTGTTTTTGTTCCAACTGCTCCTTCGCTGTCTGCGCTGCTCCTCTCCCTCCTCCTCCCAACTGGATGCGCCTCTGAAGTCTTTCACCTTCTCCTTGGGCACCTCATCCGACTCCAGAGCTTCAAATACTATCGCTCCACGCATGTGACTCCCAGGTCTCCGTCTGCAGCCCCGCCTTCAGTTCAAAGCTCTGGGCTCGGTGCAGTCTGGACACTGCTGTCTAGGAATACCAAGGGGCACCCCAACTCAGCGCATGCATGATCTGCGGCCAAACCTGCTCCCCTGCTGACTTCCCCCTTTCCTTTCCCCCCCCCCCCCCCCCCACCATCTTCCAACCGTCACATCCGGAGTCTCATCCTCTCAGGACCCTCCCACCTCCTCCACATACAAGAGACAGAGATCCCCAAGTCCAGCCTCAGCGATGGCTCAGTCACACTACCACCGCCACCAACACGGCTGCCACCCCCTTCCCTGCCACTCCCCCAGGCAACCAAGGGGCAGGGCCTCAACATCTCTTTCCTGAACTGTCTCCCAACTGACTTCTCTACCACATAACTCTGCCCCCTCTAATCCATTCTACACCTCCCTCCCAGCTTCCAAAACAGCTCTTATTGTTCATCAGCCTGCTCGAAATTTTTTTCTGGTTCTATCTGCCCATACTTTTTAGACAGTCAGCATCCAATAAATGCTGGTTGAAGGACTTAAGTCAAAACTCCAAGACCTGGTCCCAACCTGCTTCTCCTGCTTCAGAGGCCACCATTTTCCCTGCACTCCCTGTGCCCCTCTGCAGACGGGACTACACTCCCCCCTCCCATGCCTTTGTTCTCACTGATTCCTTTGCTTGGAGTGACCTCCCCCAAATCATATAATCAGCTCTCAAGGCCAATCTTAAATAGCAGGCCTTTTATTACCTACCCTCCCAACCTGTAAACTCTCCCGTTCATCAAAACCCCAAGAGCACTCCGCCTCTAATAGTAACTACCACTTACTCACCACGTAGTATCTGTCAGACCTCATTTAATTCCCACAACACACCTGTGAGGTAGGCATGGGCGTCCCCACTTAGAAAAAAATTAGTCTGAAGGTTAGGTACTCATCTGCTGTCACAGGCTCATGGTGAGTAGAGAAGTCAGATTCAAACCCAGATCTGAGCCTCGGAGTCTGCGGTTTAATCACGAAGCCACACGCCTCGCTGCCTCTCTCTGGGTATCTAGCGCACTCTTCCGTGTTGCCCTTTTGCTGTTGTTTAACAGCATTTTCTGTAAGCTGGGCGCTATTCTAAGCATTTCACAAGATTTAGCTTATTTAATTCTCACAACAAATCTATAACATAGGCACTATTATTGTCCCCATTTTACAGATAAGGGCAGAGAGGATTTAAGTCCAAGGTCATTGCCCAGGCAGTCCAGCCGCAGAATCTGCTCTGGTAACCACACACTGGACTGTTTTTGTTGTTTTTATCTGCTTCCCCCATTAAACAGCTCCTGGAGCTGTGTCTCATTCATCTCTGATTCCCCTTCAAGCCCCAACTCGGGGCCTGTCACGGAGGAGGCCTTGAAAACTGCCTGTTGAATGAAATCACCGACGAACTTACAAAACACACACGTGCGACACACGCGTCCACCCCCTGCCAACACACACTTTACCACAGTTTCCTGTTCTCTCCCAAGCAAGGTACACGCCTGACACTGTCCTATACCTCTGCCCCCCGCTCCTCGGGAGTCTCCCACACACCTGCACGCCCTTTCTTCCTTGGTCCCTTTTCAGCCCTTTCTCTACACACACGAGTGGCATGAGGAGGAGTTCTCATGAAAACCACTACGAAATTCCCGTCTCTCCCAGCTTCGGCAGATAATCAGCAGCAACACACACTCAGAAGTGTAAATGAGCACAGGAGTTTACAAAAGCTGCTCGTACTTAGCTCTGTCTTCCATTGCCTGTGGCCAGACACCCCAGAGGAGAAAAGAAAGTTTCCTAGCATGGAGACTCTCACCCAATGGGAAGGCAGGGGGAGCCCAAAGGACCCACAAATCCATATGCACACCAAATACCTGAAGGCGGATCGGTTTGTCTTGCATGCAAAGCTAAAGCTAAAACTATTTTTTCTAACGTGTATTTGATTAACCACAGTGGCAAATATAACATCAAAGTCATCTAGAAGCTCTCCTGAATTCATAGTAGCTTTGTGTCATCTATTTTCACAATAAACAGACATAAAAATAACTACTATGTGGAAAGGGAACTGTGGATTACTGACTTTAGAAATGTCCTTAATCTCGGAAAAAGTTGAGAACCACTCAAAGCAGATAATGATGAAGTAACGCTAGCTTGCAGGGAAGCCCTGAGTTCTGAGATCAGGAGCCAGGCCTGCTTCCCTTAAAGCAGTGGTTCTCAACCTTGGCTGCACATTAGAATCACCTGGGAATCTTTTTAAAATCCTGATTTCTGGGCCTCATCCTCCGGAAATTCTGTTTCTTTGTTACTAATGTTGTGGCCCCACCCCACTGCTTTAAAGGCTTCCTTCCTTAACCCTGATACCTGGAGGGGGAGGGGGGGCCCATTCCGTTCTTCCTTGGCTAGGTGAAAATGTACTAGAAGTGTAAATGAGCACAGGAGGTTACAAAAGCTGCCCAGAAAATAAGGGACAAAAATATAAGGAGAGGGAACGGGGTCATGGGGTGGGGAGGGGGATTGGAGCTGTTGCTGTGCCTGTCCTCTCCACGCCCACGCACACTTACATCTGAAAATATACACGTGCATATTTTCATGTGCATATACAGCCTCACCTCCAGCTTTTATTCTTTCAAATACGTATTAATATCTCTTCATTCACTCCACAAATCTTTATCAAACACCCACTAAGTGTCTGGTACTATATTAGGTGCAGGGAATACAGAGATGAGTCTCCCTGCCTTTTTATCGCAGACAAAGCACCACTCGCTCAACAGATACTACACACACGGAAAGCACCCTGCCCCTACCAGCTGTCTGACTCCCACCTAATATCTCCCTTCCCCTTTTCTTCATGAAACACGCACACACGCACACAATGGGTCAGATACGGAGCCGCCTCTCACAGCTCCAACACAGCTGACACAGACATTCACCTGGTACATACCCAGCACATATACACGGGACACACAAAACAGTCCCTCTCAACACCGGTGCTCTAACGCATCTCAGACACACAAGCACACAACCCTCGTTCGGAAGCACACACTTTGTTTGGCTCACTGGACGCCTCTGGCTGATGAATCCTTTCAGAGAATGAATAACACAAGGGCTCCATTTGACCAGGGTGCCTCTGGCTGCGTTTTTCATACACCCAGGCCCAATTCTGCACAGTGAGACTGTGGACCAATTACCATAACCTGCGTCTCTGTGGCTCAAATTTCCCTTCCATCAAGTTAGAAGGGTGGTTCGTCCTATTTTCTTAAGAAGGCTTTAAGGGGCCCTAACCAGTTTGGCTCAGTGGATAGAGCATCAGCCTTCGGACTGAAGGGTCCCAGGTTCGATTCTAGTCAAGGGCATGTACCTTGGTTGCAGGCACATCCCCAGTAGGGGGTGTGCAGGAGGCAGCTGATTAATGCTTCTCTCTCTGATGTTTCTAACTCTCTATCCCTCTCCCTTCCTCTCTGTAAAAAATCAATAAAATATATTTTTTTAAAAAGAAGTCTTTAAGGGGAGGAGTCATAGGGACCACAGAATCACACAAAGGTCATAGAAAGAAGGATTCCTCATCGAGTCCAGGTGTCTTACTGAGGCCTCACATTAAAACACATGCACACATGGGCACCTACACACGAGCACATGCCCTCACACGTGAGTAGTCCTCACTCTACTAGGCACTGGGCTTCCATCTGTAAACATTACTATTCAAACAGTCCCATTCACACATCTACTCACTGCCAGACCCACGGCCTGTGCGTGCAGGCAACCACACACAGACACACAGTTTCACAGCTTTGGGAGCACCTGAGCTCCTTGGGGGAAAAGGTGAGAAGGTGTCAGATTAACTTAATAAACACAGTTCCTGAAGGCATATCCCACAACCTTGTTCGCATAACCCCACAAACCTTCCTTATGTCTTCCTCTACCCCAGCTACAGATACACAATCACAGTCCTGGGCGAGTCCAGAGTTCCCAGATTCAAGGCTACACCTGCAGGCGCAGCTCCTCCCGGGCCGGACAACCTTCACGCGGAGGCACACACTTCGTTTGGCTCCCACCCCCAAAGCAGTCCCAGGGCCACACTAGATTGTTGGCACACACGTGCAGATGCACACGCTCCCCAAAGACAACCTCTTGGGGCAGACACACACAACTGCTAGGAGGCCACAGCTCCGAGGGGTGCTGAGGGAGAGGAAAGGGGTGCTGAGGGAGAGGAAAGGGGTGCTGAGGGAGAGGAAAGGGGTGCTGAGGGCGAGGAAAGCATGCCTGTCCACACTATCTGCAGAAAACAGCTGCCACTGAGCAGGGGTGAAGGAGATGGGGACGCGCTCCCCACTCCCCAGCCAGACCAAAGTACAAGCGCCTCAAAGTCCCTCCTTCCCCCACCCCCACTAAAACCAAAGCCCACCCAGGCCTGGGGCCACCCCCCACCTAGTCCCCTCACCTCACCCCTCTCTGCCCCTGGCAGCTGGGGAGCTGGCGGAAGCTGCCCCTCCCTTCAACCTCCCGATTCCATACTCCATACTCGAGTCCATACGCCAGCCTCCTCCAGACACCAGTCCCCCTTCCACAGCCCAGGCTGGAAAGGGCTGGATGTTTAAAACAGAAGCTCCCACTCCCTGTCTCTCACCCGGGAGAAACGACCAGCCATGTTTTCGTCCCTCAGCAAATCCGTCATCTCCCAACCACGAGCAGAAGCCTCAGCCACCCTTTCCCGCATTCTTCCTTCACTTTCGACCCTGCCAACTTTGTGGGAAAGAAACCCTCGATTCCCACGGTCCCGGAGCGCGCGTCACCGCCGCGCAACCCCCC